ATGCGTCCTCAAAGACGTAAAACAGTTACTTGGGAACTGTTTCAAGCAAATGCGCATTCCCCTCTTTTTTTGGACAGAATAGACAAACCCCTTTTTTTTTTTTCTGCATTTGATATTTCTGAACTGATGAAACGCATTTTTAGAAATAGGATATGGATACGGACAAACCAGGAAAAAAAAAATTCTGATTATACAGAAGAAAAGACAAAAACAATTGAGAAAAAAGAAGACGACAAAAGAGAACAATACAAAAGAGAAGAAAAAACACGAATAGAAATAGCGGAAGCCTGGGATAGTCTTTTATTTGCTCAAGTTCTAAGAGGTTTCGTCTTAGTAACCCAATCGATTCTTAGAAAATATATTATATTACCTTCCTTGATAATAGTTAAAAATATCGCCCGTCTGCTATTATTTCAATTTTCCGAATGGTCTGAGGATTTAAAGGATTGGAATCGAGAAATGCATATTAAATGTACCTATAATGGTGTTCAATTATCAGAAACAGAATTTCCAAAAAACTGGTTAACAGACGGTATTCAGATAAAAATACTATTCCCTTTTTGCCTTAAACCTTGGCACAGATCGAAATTACGATCCCCTCATAAAGATCCAATCAAAAAGAGGAAGGGGGAAAAAAATGATTTTTGTTTTTTAACAGTTTGGGGGATGGAAACTGAATTGCCTTTTGGTTCTCCCCGAAAACGGCCTTCATTTTTTGAACCTCTTTTTAAAGAATTGAAAAAAAAAATTAGAAAATTGAAAATTAAGTATTTTCTGGGTTTAAGGGTTTTAAAAGAAAGAGCAAAAATATTTGTAAAAGTCTCAAAAGAAACAAAAAAACAGGTCAGTACAAACCTTCTATTTGTAAAAGGAATAATAAAAGAATTTTCAAAACGAAACCGAAGTCCATTATTTGGATTGAAAGAAATATCTGAATTGAGTGAAACGAAAAAAGATTCAAGAATTAGTAATCAGATGATTCCCGAATCGTCTGTTCAAATTCGATCTATGGAGTGGACAAATTATTCCCTGACAGAAAACAAAATAAAAGATTTGACTGATAGAGCAAGTACAATCAGAAATCAAATAGAACAAATTACAAAAGAGAAGAAAAACGGATTTATAACCCAAACTCAAGAAATAAATATTAGTTCTAACAAACCAAGTTATCATGCTAAAATATTAGCATCATCAAAAAATATTTGGCAAATATTAAAAAGAAAAAATGCTCGATTAATTCGTAAATCATATTATTTTATAAAATTTTTCATTGAAAGGATATATATAGATATTTTTCTATGTATCGTTAATATTCCAAGGATGAATACACAACTTTTTCTTGAATCAACAAAAAAAAATTTTGATAAATACATTTACAATAATGAAGTAAATCAAGAAAGAATTAATAAAACAAATAAAAATACCAGTCAATTTATTTCGAATATAAAAAACTCACTTTCTAATACTAATATTAGAAATAAGAATTCAAAAAATTGTTGTAATCTATCCTCCTTCTCACAAGCATATGTATTTTACAAATTATCACAAATAAAAGTTATTAACTTGTATAAGTTAAGGTCTGTCCTTCAATATCAATATAACGGAACATCTTTTTTTCTTAAGAATGAAATAAAGGATTCTTTTGAAGAACAAGGAATATTTGATTACCAATTAAGACATAAACCCCCTTTTAATTACGAAAAAAATCTATGGAAAAACTGGTTAAGAAGTCATTATCAATATGATTTACCTCAGATTAGATGGCCTAGATTAGTACCAGAAAAATGGCGAAATAGAGTCAAAGAATACTGTAGAGTTCAAAATAAAGATTTAAACAAATGGGATTCATATGAAAAAGACAAATTAAGTCATTACGAAAGACAAAACTCTTTTGAAGTGGACTCATTGCTGAATCAAAAATCGAATTTCAAAAAAAATGATAGATATGATCTTTTATCATCTAAATCTATTAATTCTAAAGACAAGATTTTTTTTAATTACAACATGGATAAACAGAAATTTTTTGATATCCTCGTAGGTATCCCTATCCATAATTATCTAGTCTCTAATTATTTCGGAGAAGATCATATTTTTGATAGCGAGAAAATTCTGGATCGAAAATATTTAGATTGGAGAATTCTCAACTTTTGTCTTAGAAACAAGGTCGATATTGAGTCGTGGGTTGATATCGATACTAAGAGTAATAAAAATATTAAGACTGGAGTTAATAATTATCAAATTATTGATAAAATTAATAAGAAGAAGGGTCTTTTATATTTCACAATTCATCAAGATCAAGAAATCAAACCTTTCAATCCAAAAAGTTTCTTTTTTGATTGGATGGGAATGAATGAAGAAATACTAAGTCGTCTATCGAATCTAGAACTTTGGTTCTTTCCCGAATTTGTCTTACTTTATAATGCATATAAGATTAAACCGTGGATCATACCAAGCAATTTACTTCTTTTTAATTTTAATGAAAATGAAAACCTTAATAAAAGCATCACGGGAAAGAAAAAGGGTTTTATATCATCGAATGAAAAACAATTTCTTGGATTTGGATTCGAAAATCCAAATCACGAAGAAAGAGACCCCGCGTACCAAGGGGAGCTTGGACCAGATGAACAAAAACAAGGGAATCTTGGATCAATTCTCTCAAACCAAGAAAAAAATATTGAAGAAGATTATGCAGAATCAGACATCAAAAAACGTAGAAAGAAAAAGCAATACAAAAGCAATACAGAAGCAGAACTTCATTTCTTCCTAAAAAGATATTTGCGTTTTCAATTGAGATGGAATGATTCTTTAAATGAAAGAATTATCAATAATATCAAAGTATATTGTCTCTTGCTTAGACTGATAAATCCAAGAGAAATTACTATATCTTCTATTCAAAGGGGAGAACTGAGTCTAGATATCCTGATGATTCAGAAGGATTTAACTCTTCCAGAATTAATGAAAAAGGGAATATTGATTATCGAACCAGTCCGTTTGTCTGTCAAAAACGATGGACAATTTATTATATATCAAACCATAGGTATTTCATTGGGTGATAAGAATAAGCCCCAAATAAAGCAAAGATACCAAGAAAAAAACTATGTTGATAAAAAGAATTTTGATGAATCCATTGCAAGACATCAAAGAATGACTGGAAATAGAGAAAAAAATCATTATGATTTCCTTGTCCCTGAAAATATTTTATCCCCTAAATGTCGTAGAGAATTTCGAATTCTAATTTGTTTCAATTCAAAGAATAGAAATGATATGCGTAGAAAGACAAAATTTCACAATAACATAAAAAACTGTGGTCAAGTTTTGAATACAACCAAAGATTTTGATAGAAATAAAAATACCCTAATTAAATCAAAGTTCTTTCTTTGGCCCAATTTTCGATTAGAAGATTTAGCTTGTATGAATCGCTATTGGTTTAATACTAATAATGGTAGTCGTTTCAGTATGATAAGGATACATATGTATCCGCGATTAAAAACTCCTTGATAGTACATTTTTCTATATATCATGTACCATTTCGGCTAGATGAAACCAAATGCATGCACACATGGATTGTCTTAGATTCCATTCTGATACATGATATAAATTTAATGATATACATATCAATTAGATCTATAAATGAATCAACAGAATCTTTTGATTTTCGTTTAGATCTAAAATTGCATTTTCTCTTTTCATTTTAAAGAAATATACCATCCTTTTTTGTATACCTATCTGAATCAAATTGAAAATGAATCATCTAATTTTCAATTTGATAAACTTAGCAAGTTCATAACTACATTAAGATGATTATGTAAAAATTAATAGCATTATTATTACTGATCGGTAAAATTCATATCCTTAAAAAGAAAAGGGGGGGGATTTTGTTTTATGATAAAAAATTCATTCATCTCATTTCAAGAAAAAAAAAAAGAAAATAGTGGGTCTGTTGAATTTCAAGTATTCAGTTTCACCAATAAGATACGAAGACTTACTTCACATTTGGAATTGCACAGAAAAGACTATTTATCTCAGAGAGGTCTACGGAAAATTTTGGGAAAACGTCAACGACTGCTGTCTTATTTGTCAAAGAAAAATAGAGTACGTTATAAAGAATTAATTAATCAGTTGGATATTCGGGAATCAAAAAAAATTTCATTTTTGAATTAGTTAATTTATTAGATCTTGAATTTTGATGACCTTCCTTTCATTTTCGGCAATTCAATTCATGTAAGAATGAATCTAAGGAAAAACTTATGAATATACCAGCCACGGGAAAAGACTTTATGATAGTCAATATGGGACCTCACCACCCATCAATGCATGGTGTTCTTCGTCTAATCGTTACTCTAGATGGTGAAGATGTTATTGACTGTGAACCAATATTAGGTTATTTACACAGAGGAATGGAAAAAATTGCGGAAAATCGAACAATTATACAATATCTGCCTTATGTAACACGGTGGGATTATTTAGCTACTATGTTCACAGAAGCAATAACCGTAAATGGACCAGAACAGTTGGGAAATATTCAAGTCCCTAAAAGAGCTAGCTATATTAGAGTAATTATGTTGGAATTGAGTCGTATAGCTTCTCATCTGTTATGGCTTGGCCCTTTTATGGCAGATATTGGTGCACAGACTCCCTTTTTCTATATTTTCAGAGAACGAGAATTAGTATATGATCTATTCGAAGCTGCCACCGGTATGAGAATGATGCATAATTATTTTCGTATCGGAGGAATAGCGGCCGATCTACCTCATGGTTGGATAGATAAATGCTTGGATTTTTGCGATTATTTTTTAACAGGGGTTGCTGAATATCAAAAACTTATTACACGAAATCCTATTTTTTTAGAACGAGTTGAAGGAGTAGGCATTATTGGTGGAGAAGAAGCAATAAATTGGGGTTTATCCGGACCAATGCTACGCGCGTCTGGGATAGAATGGGATCTTCGTAAAGTTGATCATTATGAGTGTTACGACGAATTTGATTGGGAAGTCCAGTGGCAAAAAGAAGGAGATTCATTAGCTCGTTATTTAGTGCGAATCAGTGAAATGACGGAATCCATAAAAATTATTCAACAGGCTCTGGAAGGAATTCCAGGAGGCCCCTATGAGAATTTAGAAATCCGATGTTTTGATAGAAAAAAGGATCCAGAGTGGAATGATTTTGACTATCGATTCATTAGTAAAAAACCTTCTCCTACTTTTGAATTGCCAAAACAAGAACTGTATGTGAGAGTCGAAGCTCCAAAGGGGGAATTGGGAATTTTTCTGATAGGGGATCAAAGTGGTTTTCCTTGGAGATGGAAAATTCGCCCACCGGGTTTTATTAATTTGCAAATTCTTCCTCAGCTAGTTAAAAGAATGAAATTGGCTGATATTATGACGATACTCGGTAGTATAGATATCATTATGGGAGAAGTTGATCGTTAAAATGATAATTGATACAATAGAAGTACAAGATATCAATTCTTTTTCCAGATTGGAATCTTTAAAAGAGTTCTATGGAATCATATGGATGCTTGTCCCTATTTTGGCTCTTGTATTGGGGATCACAACAGGTGTACTAGTAATTGTGTGGTTAGAAAGAGAAATATCTGCAGGGATACAACAACGTATTGGACCTGAATACGCCGGTCCTTTGGGAATTCTTCAAGCTCTAGCAGATGGGACAAAACTACTTTTCAAAGAGAATCTTCTTCCATCTAGAGGAAATACTCGTTTATTCAGTATTGGACCGTCTATAGCAGTTATATCAATTTTACTAAGTTATTCAGTAATTCCTTTTGGCAATCACCTTGTTTTAGCGGATCTCAATATCGGTATTTTTTTATGGATTGCCATCTCAAGTATTGCTCCTATTGGACTTCTTATGTCAGGATATGGATCAAATAATAAATATTCTTTTTTAGGTGGTCTGCGAGCTGCTGCTCAATCAATTAGTTATGAAATACCATTAACTCTATGTGTTTTATCAATATCTCTACGTGTGATTCGTTGAAACATAAACTTTTCTTTTCCCTATGCCTTTCGTTCTAGAAAAATAAGTTAAATAAATTGAATAAATATCTTCATTATTCATCTTTGGGATTAATAAAGTAAATTAGATAGTTATATGAGTGAAAGAAAACAGCTTATAAATTGGCAGTAAAAATCAAAAATTTAGTCTCATTTTCTACGTACAAGAGTTAAGCGGAAGTAAACATAAGTTGAAGAGGCACTTTACCCCAAGATTGGTTGATTAGTCATCCTGACTTGAAGCGGGTTCAAAAGATCCTCCGCATGGAGTTTTCGCTATCGTTTGTATAGATTACCATACATGTAGTACCAAGCGGGGGATTGAGCAAAAACGAGTGGATGATTAGGAACACCAAAATACACAAAGGATTAGTAATGGAGATTACATACAGAAATTTTTGAATTTAAAAGAATGCTAATTGGGGCTTTAAGTTAGTAGAAATGATGAGGCAGTACTCCCCATGATTCCGATCCAGAGTATGCTCCTATCCACCGATTAAAGCAATGACTATCAGAAACGAAATAATCCTTTATTATTTTAGCCCACCAACTTTTTCACTTTTTCTCAGAAAGAAGAATAGGAACGAAAAAAAAAAGAGATCTTTTTTATTTTAGTCTTTCTTTCATATATTTCGAGAAATCAAATTTGTGTCATAAGTCATGAACTAATAGAATGTCTAATTCTTTTTCGTAATCGAAAACGATGAGCTGAAATACTTATTGATATTTCTACAAGGAGTATTTTATTGAAGGATTAAGTTATTACTCAACAAATCAAAATGGAACTTTTTAAGGGATGAGATGAATTCAGAAGCACTTTTTTATTATAGTTATAGCAGACAGAATTCCATTGGTATAATTAGGGGCCTTTCGATAGATTTTGATTTCATCTATTCTACAACCGTATCAACAAGATAAATAATACTAATCCGGTCCTTAGATTTATTTGTGGCCCTCGAGGAGCCGTATGAGGCTAAAACCTCATGTACGGTTTTGTAATAGCGATGGTAACAGTGATGTTATCACCGACTATGATTATCTAACAGTTCAAGTACAGTTGATATAGTTGAGGCGCAGTCAAAATATGGTTTTTGGGGGTGGAATTTGTGGCGACAACCCATAGGGTTTATCATTTTTCTAATTTCTTCCCTAGCAGAATGTGAGAGGTTACCTTTTGATTTACCAGAAGCAGAAGAAGAATTAGTAGCAGGTTATCAAACCGAATATTCAGGTATCAAATTTGGTTTATTTTACGTTGCTTCCTATTTAAATCTATTAGTTTCTTCGTTATTTGTAACAGTTCTATACTTGGGTGGTTGGAATATTTCTATTCCATACATATTCGTTCCTGAGCTATTTGAAATGGATGGAATCCTTGGAACAACAATCGGTATCTTTATTACATTAGCGAAAACTTATTTGTTCTTGTTCATTTCTATCGCAACAAGATGGACTTTACCTAGGCTAAGAATGGACCAACTATTAAATCTTGGATGGAAATTTCTTTTACCTATTTCTCTGGGCAATCTATTATTAACAACTTCGTCCCAACTCCTTTCACTCTAAAGCAAAAAGTAATATGACATTGATAACTTGGTTCAAACAAGAGAAAGAAACAAAGATAAAATTATTCTATTCATAGATATTTACGATATGTTCCCTATGGTAACTGGGTTCATGAATTATGGTCAACAAACAATACGAGCCGCAAGGTACATTGGGCAAGGTTTCATAATTACCCTATCCCACGCAAATCGTTTACCTGTAACTATTCAATATCCTTATGAAAAATTAATAACATCGGAGCGTTTCCGTGGTCGAATCCATTTTGAATTCGATAAATGCATTGCTTGTGAAGTATGTGTTCGGGTATGCCCTATAAATCTGCCTGTTGTTGATTGGAAATTTGAAACTGATATTCGAAAGAAACGATTGCTTAATTACAGTATTGATTTCGGAATCTGTATATTTTGTGGTAACTGTGTTGAGTATTGTCCAACAAATTGTTTATCAATGACTGAAGAATATGAACTTTCTACTTATGATCGTCACGAATTGAATTATAATCAAATTGCTTTAGGTCGTTTACCAATGTCAGTAATTGACGATTATACAATTCGAACTATTTTGAATTCGCCTCAAAGAAAAAATGGGTAAACCTCTTAATTTCATTAAGGAGTCATTTTAAATTACTAAGGTTCGTTTTTGGTTTAAAAGAAAAGAATGAGGTCTTTCTCTTTGCTTGGTCAATAACTAAAAATTCCGACTATAAATTGGTTGAGGAGACTTACGACTTAATTTTTATTGAAAAGCTATTCTATTAATCTAATATATCTGTAATGTAATTATTTTGAAATATATAGGTTGAAAATACCCTTTTGAATAAAAAAAAGTGAATAAAAAAAAGAAGGAAATTGTCCAATAATTGGACCTGTACCTACATCAATTCACGCCCATTATATTGAATTAGAATTTAATTCAATTAGGAACGTATCATAAAAAAATTTCCTGGTCAGGTCAATAAGGTCATGAAAAGCATTTCGATTTATTTATCTCTTTTTTTACATATTATAATGGATTTGCTTGGACCAATACATGATTTTCTTTTAGTTTTTCTGGGATCAGGTCTTATATTAGGAGGTCTGGGAGTGGTATTATTTCCCAACCCAATTTATTCTGCCTTTTCATTAGGATTTGTTCTTGCTTGTATATCCTTATTCTATATTCTATCAAATTCCCATTTTGTAGCTGCTGCACAGCTCCTTATTTACGTGGGGGCCATAAATGTTTTAATCATATTTGCTGTAATGTTCATGAATGGTTCAGAATATTACAGAGATTTTAATCTCTGGACCATTGGGGATGGGATTACTTCCTTGGTTTGTACAAGTATTTTTCTTTCGTTAATTACTACTATTCTGGATACGTCATGGTACGGGGTTATTTGGACTACAAGATTAAATCAGATTCTAGAGCAAGATTTGATAAGTAGTAGTCAACAAATTGGAATTCATTTATCAACAGATTTTTTTCTTCCATTTGAACTCATTTCGATAATTCTTTTAGTTGCTTTGATAGGTGCAATTGCTGTGGCTCGTCAGTAAGAAATCTTTATAATTAGAAAGAGCAATCAAAAGAAAACTTTTTTCTGTCTTATCACATCCATTTCTCTTCAATTCTATTTGAATACTATCCATGTCGAAAATAGAAATGCTTTTTTTTGCTCTATTACCAATATATTCTTTTTGTCCGTACTTGTTATATTCTAGTCAATCGAATCTGTTGAATTATTGTATTGGTCATATTGAAATGAATCAAAATTGATAAGGAGTTGGTCAATGCTACTCGAACATGTACTTGTTTTGAGTGCCTATTTATTTTCTATCGGTATTTATGGATTGATTACGAGTCGAAATATGGTTAGGGCCCTTATGTGTCTTGAACTTATACTGAATGCGGTTAATATGAATTTTGTAACGTTTTCTGATTTTTTTGATAAGCGCCAATTAAAGGGGGATATTTTCTCAATTTTTGTTATAGCAATTGCAGCCGCTGAAGCAGCTATTGGATCAGCTATTGTTTCGTCAATTTATCGTAACAGAAAATCAACTCGTATCAACCAATCAACTTTGTTGAATAAGTAGCATTAATCATAGAATGATAATATTCATCAATTTGAGAATTAACATGTATAATACGTTGTAACCTAATAGATTAGATTTGTGAAAACGTAAGAAATCAAAGTATCTTGGCCTTCTCTTATTAGTTGATCCAGAAATAAATCGATTAGAAAATTTCTGGTAAAGTAAATCATTGATTCATCTAGTGTTTAAATATATGATTCATTTACAAGTTTACTAGATTGAAAATTTATGACATTCAAAAATTTATAGATCCTATGTCACATTCAGTAAAAATTTATGATACATGTATAGGATGTACTCAATGTGTCCGAGCATGCCCCACAGATGTATTAGAAATGATACCTTGGGACGGATGTAAAGCTAAGCAAATTGCTTCCGCTCCAAGAACAGAGGACTGTGTTGGGTGTAAGAGATGTGAATCCGCATGTCCAACGGATTTCTTGAGTGTTCGAGTTTATTTAGGGCCTGAAACAACTCGAAGCATGGGTCTAGCTTATTGATACGTTCGAGAAAATCTCACTTGAATACATTTGATTTTTTTTACTGACAAAAACCCGTACTCAAAAAAAATGAAATTTTTTTTGAGTACGGGTTTTTTGGTCCAAGCATATCTTGTCTTTACCACGAATTATTTTCCTTGGTTAACAATAATTGTAGTTTTGCCGATATCCGCAGGTTCGTTAATTTTTTTTCTACCTCATAGAGGAAATAAGGTGATTCGGTGGTATACAATATGTATATGCGTCTTAGAACTTCTTCTAACGACCTATGCGTTTTGTTATCATTTTCAATTGGACGATCCCTTAGTTCAGTTGACGGAAGATTATAAATGGATCAATTTTTTTGATTTTTACTGGAGATTGGGAATAGATGGACTTTCTATAGGACCTATTTTACTGACAGGATTTATCACTACTTTAGCTACCTTAGCGGCTTGGCCTGTTACTCGAGATTCCCGATTATTCCATTTTCTGATGTTAGCAATGTACAGCGGTCAAATAGGATCATTTTCGTCTCGAGATCTTTTACTTTTTTTCCTCATGTGGGAGTTAGAATTAATTCCCGTTTATCTACTTCTTTCCATGTGGGGTGGAAAGAAACGTCTGTATTCAGCTACAAAGTTTATTTTGTACACTGCGGGAGGTTCCATTTTTCTATTAATAGGAGTTTTGGGTATTGGTTTATATGGTTCCACTGAACCAACATTAAATTTTGAAACATTAACTAATCAATCGTATCCGATCGCACTAGAAATAATATTCTATATTGGATTTCTTATTGCTTTTGCTGTCAAATCACCGATTATACCCTTACATACATGGTTACCAGACACCCATGGAGAGGCACATTACAGTACTTGTATGCTTCTCGCCGGAATCTTATTAAAAATGGGAGCATATGGATTGGTTCGAATCAATATGGAATTATTACCACATGCTCATTCTCTATTTTCTCCCTGGTTGGTGGTTGTAGGTACAATGCAAATAATTTATGCAGCTTCAACATCTTCTGGTCAACGTAATTTAAAAAAAAGAATAGCCTATTCTTCTGTATCTCATATGGGTTTCATAATTATAGGAATTGGTTCTATAACCGACCCAGGACTCAATGGAGCCATTTTACAAATAGTCTCTCATGGATTTATTGGCGCTGCACTTTTTTTCTTGGCAGGAACGAGTTATGATAGAATACGTCTTGTTTATCTCGACGAAATGGGCGGAATGGCTATCTCAATGCCAAAAATATTCACAATGTTCAGTATCTTATCGATGGCTTCCCTTGCATTACCGGGCATGAGTGGGTTTGTTGCAGAATTGATAGTTTTTTTTGGAATAATTACCAGTCAGAAATATTTTTTAATGGCAAAAATACTAATTACTTTTGTAATGGCAATTGGAATGATATTAACTCCTATTTATTCATTATCTATGTCACGCCAAATGTTCTATGGGTACAAGCTAATTAATGCCCAAAACTTTTCTTTTTTTGATTCTGGGCCGCGAGAGTTATTTGTTTCGATCTCTATTCTTTTACCCGTAATAGGTATTGGTATTTATCCGGATTTCCTTCTCTCACTATCAAGTGACAAGGTTGAAGCTATTCTATCTAATTATTTTAATAGATAGTTTTCTTTTCATGAATAAAAAAAGGAAATTGAATTGTAACCAGACATGCTTGGCGTGTGTGAGAACCTTTTGAATCACTACACTCCTTGATTCAAAAGGTTCTTGACGACTTATGCTAAATTTTCTTACTTATATGGATCCTATCCCATCTTTATATTTGTCAGTCCCATTCTTGAATTCTATGTTAATGTAAATGAACCATAACTATGTAAACCTATTCCTAATAGATTGACCCCAAAATAGCATATCCAAATTATAAGAAAACCCATAGAAGCCACAATTGCAGAATTTATACCTCCCAAATTGATATTTGTTCGAATATGTAAATAAATCGCGAATATGGTCCAAGTAATAAAGGCCCAAGTTTCCTTTGGGTCCCAATTCCAATACGATCCCCATGCCTCATTAGCCCATACTGCTCCTGAAAGAATGCCTATGGTTAAAAAAATAAACCCAAGACTAATAATACGATAACTCCAATGATCCAATTGTTGAATCAATTGATACCTGTAATAATTTCTAGAAGAAAGAAAAGAAGTGTTTAATAAAATATTGCTTCTTTCATTCATGTATTGAATTTTACCAAAAGAAAATGACTCATTTAAAAAATTATTGCTTTTACCAAAAATTCTTATGACTTTTCGAAATGTAATGACTAGAAGAGCTACTGATAATAATGATCCACATAACAGAGCGGCGTAGCCTAATACCATCATACTTACGTGCATCATTAACCACTGGGATTGGAGAGCAGGTACTAATATTACGGATTGAGACATTTTGTTTAAAAGACCCGAAGTAGCAAACCCTTGGGTCAAAATAGCACTTGGCCCGGTTATTGCGTTTAAATTATTTTTATGCTTTTTATTAAAATAGCAAACCATATGAATAATGGAGAAACTCCATGAAAGAAAGATTAATGATTCATATAAATTACTTAATGGAAAATGTCCCGAATAAATCCAGCGAGCGGCTAATAAGCCTGTTATACAAAAAAAGGTAACTATCATGCCCTTGTCTGATGAATCATACAGTCCTACAATTTCATCGACTAATAAGGTTAAAAAATAAATTGTAATTACAATTGAAACGACCGAAAAAGATATATGAATTAATATATGCTCTAATGTTGAAAAAATCATAAAAGTTCTTAAAAAAGTGAAGGCCCTCCGATTATCCGGAATGGAAATCGGGAATTGAATTCATTATAGAACTTATTCTATCTCTTTTAGAAGATGCTATGCCGCTACTCGGACTCGAACCGAGATGCTCTAGCACTGCTTCCTAAGAGCAGCGTGTCTACCAATTTCACCATAGCGGCTTGTTCAAAATCATAATAACCTTTTTTTATTCAATCGTCGAGATTGAAAGAGTCAATTCAATGCAATTTCGGAAAGATTTGATGAATAAAAACTCTTTTTTAAAAAGGGATTTGAGGGTTCGATTCCAACATCGAGCCTTAATAATAAATAATAAGATAATTATCTTTTTTTTAGATAACATATTTTTACTTTTTTAAGAGTTTGTAAATTAACAACAAACAAAAGTTTTTGTAGTTTAAAGTTTTTGTAGTTTATGTTTTTTTCTAAAATAGAACTCTTGTAACTAAAGTTCAATCCAGGAATAGAACTCAAAAAAAATGTTTTTTTTTCATTTCTTAATGATTTATTTCTCATTTATATGATTTTTTAAATCTATAAATCTATTTTTTATCAATTGAATGAATAAAAAAAAAGATGATTTTTTACAGATCACAATTTCAGCACGACATCCAACAATTTGAAATGAAAGGTTTTATGTAATTTTTGCATAGCTTTGTATTAATGCCTAGAGGTTTTCGTTGTTAATTTGTGTTAGAATTTATCAAACTAATTAGGTATTGGGTTGAATATATTATATAAAAAAAGTAAAGTTTTGATTTCTATCCTAATTCATACTTCCAAAAAAATGAAAAATGCTTTCTAAATCTAAATTAGAATAATAATTAGAAATATCTTGATTGATCTTTCTATACAAAATTTTTTTGATCACTTAAAAATGATACATTATTCGTATAGAATATCCGCTAGATTAGAAAAGGTGCTTTTTTCAATTGGGTTGGAAGCAAGAGGTATATAATGATTCAGAGAAATAATGATTCAGAAAATTAGAAGAGTTTCAAGATGGAAACTTAATCAATATCAATGAATTTCAACAACTTAATAAACCTATTGATTTTGACTAAAGATTTTCGATTTCGTCTTCTATAGTATAAATAAAAAAAAAGGGTAGAAATAGAAAAAGTTCTTATATTTATTATTTCACAAGTGGGTGATGGGGAAAATAACAATCCCCATCCAAGAAATGAAAAAAAAAACATATTATATTAAATAATAAAGGGTGAAACCTTATATCTTGTCTTTATTTTTCTAAAAAATGATAGAAAAGCTTTATTTTCTATTTTATTTTGGAATTCAGTAAATAAAATCGATCAGTTCAAACCATTAGGGAATGGAAATCATTCCTTTTCTATTCATTACTTCTATATTAACTTCTATATTATAAAGATAAAGTGGATTCTAAAATAAATTACCTTTTCAAGTTCAAGTTAGGCCAATTCAGATTATTCTAATGTTTTGTTATTTATTTGTCGTACAAAAAAACTTTTTGAATTCCCTGTAGAAAGAGATTTCGCCAATGAAAAAGCTTTCAACGCTGCCCAATATCCCTTCTTTTTCCAAAGATTTTTACGAATACGCTTTTTTGATATAGAAGTACGTTTTTTTGGAACTGCCATTCAAAAATGAAAAAGGTTATTCAATGCTATAGTTGGATGTGAAAGACATCTATTGTTCAAAACGAATCGTTCTTTCCTATGCCTTATCCGTCTATCTATTTCCGTATCTATTTATATTTCTTTTTTTCTTTAGATTATAATTTATATTTATTTTATTCTTTAGATTATATATACTATCTTCAAAAAAAAAATGTCGAATATAATAGTCTTTCTTACAAGTATAAGTATCATTTATTGTATGTAATGGAAGACAATCAATAAGTTCCACAATGAACTAGTTAATGATTCTGAATAAACAAAATAACTAGTTTTGATTTTCTTGGGTAACGTCTTTGTCCATCCTATAATTATGAGTCATATCAAGTACTTTTTTGTAGTGTAAATCTTTATTCTATTCTTGATATATATATAAATTATTGTAATACGTAATTCTAATTGAATTTTATTATATCTTTCTAAAAATCTTGCTTAATTAAAAAAGTAATTATTTATTTTTTACTATTAACTTAGTCATATCATTTAACTCCTTCTAATTTCTTGATTTGAATATTTTTAAAGTATTGGGGAAATATTCAAACAAATTCCAAATAGAAAAAAAATTCCTGAAATATCTTGATTTTTTTTATTGCCCCCTTTGAAAAAAAGATAAGAACTGGTGAATCAGAAATAATTAATTAAGAATAAAATAAAAGGTTTTTTATGGAACATATATATCAATATTCATGGATGATCCCTTTCATTCCACTTCCAGTTCCGATTTTACTAGGAATGGGACTTCTACTTTTTCCGACGGCAACAAAAAATCTTCGCCGTATGTGGGCTTTTCTTAGTATTTTTTTGTTAAGTATAGTTATGATCTTTTCGATCGATCTCTCTATTCAACAAATAACTGGAAGTTCCGCCTATCAATATGTATGGTCTTGGACCATAAATAATGAATTTTCTTTCGAGTTTGGCAACTTGATTGATCCACTTACTTCTATTATGTCAATATTAATCACTACTGTTGGAATTTTGGTTCTTATTTATAGTGACAGTTATATGTCTCATGATCAAGGGTATTTGAGATTTTTTGCTTATATGAGTTTTTTCAATACTTCAATGTTGGGATTAGTTACTAGTTCTAATTTGATACAAGTTTATATTTTTTGGGAATTAGTCGGAATGTGTTCTTATTTATTAATAGGTTTTTGGTTCACACGACCTATTGCAGCAAATGCTTGTCAAAAAGCCTTTGTAACTAATCGTGTAGGGGATTTTGGTTTATTATTAGGAATCTTAGGTCTTTATTGGATAACGGGTAGTTTCGAATTTCAGGATTTGTTCGAAATATTCAATAACTTGATTTATAATAATCAGGTTCATTTTTTATTCGTTACTTTGTGTGCTTTTCTATTATTTGCGGGCCCAGTTGCTAAATCCGCCCAATTCCCTCTTCATGTATGGTTACCTGATGCGATGGAAGGTCCTACTCCTATTTCGGCTCTTATACATGCTGCTACTATGGTAGCGGCAGGAATTTTTCTTGTAGCTCGGCTTCTTCCTCTTTTCATAGGCATACCTTACATAATGTATCTAATTTCTTTGATAGGTATAATAACAGTATTATTAGGAGCTACTTTAGCTCTTGCTCAAAAAGATATTAAGAGAGGGTTAGCCTATTCTACAATGTCTCAATTGGGTTATATGATGTTAGCTCTAGGTATGGGCTCTTATCGAGCCGCTTTATTTCATTTGATTACTCATGCTTATTCAAAAGCATTGTTGTTTTTAGGATCCGGATCAATTATTCATTCAATGGAAGCTGTTGTTGGATATTCTCCAGTTAAAAGCCAGAATATGGTTCTTATGGGTGGTTTAACAAAGCATGTACCAATTACAAAAACCACTTTTTTATTAGGTACGCTTTCCCTTTGTGGTATTCCGCCCCTTGCTTGTTTTTGGTCCAAAGATGAAATTCTCAATGATAGTTGGTTGTATTCACCAATTTTTGCAGTAATAGCTTGTTCCACGGCCGGATTAACCGCCTTTTATATGTTTCGGATCTATTTACTTACTTTTGATGGGCATTTAAACATTCATTTTCAAAATTACAGTGGCAAAAAAAGTAGCTCTTTCTATTCAATATCTATATGGGGTAAAGAAGAAGCAAAACCAATTAACAGAAATTTTTGTTTAGTACCTTTATTAACAATGAATAACAACGAAAGAGCTACTTTTTTTTGGAAGAAGGCATATCAAATTGGTAGTAATGTAAGAAATAGAACTTTTCTTTCTATTCCTCATTTTGCCGTTAAAACAACTTTCTCTTATCCCCATGAATCGGACAATACTATCCTATTTCCGATGCTTATATTGGTTCTATTTACTTTGTTTGTTGGAGCCATAGGAATTCCTTTCAATCAAGAAGGAATAGATTTTGATATATTATCAAAATTGTTAACTCCGTCTATAAACCTTTTACATCAAAATTCAAATGATTTTGTAGATTGGTATGAATTTTTTAAAAATGCAACCTTTTCAGTCAGTATAGCTTTTTTCGGAATATTTATAGCATTTTTTTTATATAAGCCTGCTTATTCATCTTTACAGAATTTAAACTTACTTAATTCATTTGCAAAAAGGGGTCCTAAGAGAATTCTGTGGGACAAAATAATCAATTTTATATATGATTGGTCGTATAATCGTGGTTACATAGATACTTTTTATACAATATCTTTAACTGGGGGTATAAGAGGATTAGCGGAACTAACTCATTTTTTTGATAGACGAGTAATTGATGGAATTACAAATGGGGTAGGTATTACGAGTTTCTTTATAGGAGAAGGCATAAAATATGTCGGGGGAAGTCGCATCTCTTCTTATCTATTATTGTATTTGTTCTATGTATTAATTTTTTTATTTATTTACTACTTTTTAAATTTATTGAATTTCTTCTAA